CAATTGTAATTCTTTTCTCTATTCCACACTTGCCAATTCTAGGTTCACCCCAGGGGTTATTGACCTTCCATTTATCTCTTAGTGTCTACCTATGCACTTTATGAACTCCTTAGGTATTGTCATATTTTACTGGGGCTAGAATTATTTCCTTCATCAAAACTTGCAAGCAGCTGTAAAAAATATCCAAAAGCAAGAGTAACACAATATCTTTACTTGGACCATGTGAAACATCACAAAACTCTTAACCTGCTTTTGAGGTCACCAGAATTATCCTGCTAAAACTCATACCCAGTCTTGGGAAACAAACATCCAAGAACATCATAAAATATCACCATTATTGAAAAAGGAAAGCCTAGGAGATGGAAAGGAGGAAGTGCATTCTGAAAACCTAATTGGGTTAATGAGGAGGTGTGATGAGTGAGTAATCCATGTGCAAATAAATAAATAAAGAAATGGAATTACGGTATTTTACCTGTGGACGAAAGCTGTAAATCCAACTTGTAGTCCCAATTTGAGTAAACCCATTGAATCATTATTGCATGTTCAGTCAACATTTTTTGTAAATCCTACTGGTTCAATTGGATTACTCAAACTGAGCCCACAGCAATATTTTTAGGCTGTCATATTTTCTTATTACAACTTATATAAGACCCCCTTTCCATTTTATTAGTATGACAACAACCCAAATGGATTCCCTGACCACTGGAAAAGGGTGGTGGTGAGGGAGAAAGTGGAATGAAATGACTCAATCCATGAATAGAAATACTTCCCATGGTAATATTATGTTTGTTGTATTGTGTGCCTCTAAGTTTTTTCTGACATGGTGACCCTAAGGTGAAATTATCATAAGTTTTTATTGGTAAGATTTATCTAGAGGAGATTTGTCATTGCCTCCTCCTGTGAATGAGAGCATATGACACTTCCCAAGCTCAGCCAGTGGCTTTCATGGCTGAGTAGGGACTCGAACCCTTGACTCCAGAGTCATAATCCAATGGTCAAACCACCATACCACACATGTTATACAGGCCCATTTATGCTTCCAGACAGACAAAATTTAATATTATCATTAAAACAACAACATTTTGACCATCATCACCAACAACAGTAATGGCAACAACAACATTGCAGAGCTATTTAATTTGTTCCTCCTGAATAATTTTGCTTGTGGAAAGAAAAAAGAAAGATGGAAGAAGCAAGGTAAAACAGGAGAGGTTACAGATGGAAGGGGTTCTCATCTGGATGTCATGTGAAATTCTGTGAAGGAGGCAGAGTGATGGTGCAAAAGCAAAAAACAAAAAACCCAACCACTCTCAATTGGAAGCACCAATACCAAATGTCACCACATTTTTGGCTTCACTTTAACTTGATTCTAATTATCTTTGAAGAGATAATAGTATCACATGAGCCAATCTTTCTTTAAAAAGTTAAAATAAAAAAAATCAAAGAGTTGATCATATATCAGATGAATGTAAAAACAAATAGGTCAAACTGGGGTCTGATTTTCTGCATTATAAACTCTATAGATATTTCATCCAAACATTATTTTGTGTGTTTTATACATAGAAACATCAATGATTTCATTTCACAAGTCACTATAATGTCCCCATGAGTATACTCAGCCATGTAAAATTGTATGACTTGTGGGTAACAACTGGCCATTTGAGGTGGCCCAATATCATTTTTGGGATCCCCTGACTCTCCAAGGGTCCTCGCACCACTCTCCATTTTTGCCACCTGAAAAAATATCATTGTTGCCAGAGAAACCTTATATCAAGTTGAAAAAAAGTTTGCAGGGATATTTCATGCCATTTTAGAAGGCTTCCCACCACAAAACAGACCACTTGAGAAGCAACTAGAAGTAATATATGTTACTTCTGCTGTCTGCTGTGGTGGATCTGTGACCCTCTAGCACTCCAAGGGAGTAAATAGTGGGTGTTGCAACCTTCAGGTTCCAGAATATGTCCAATCCTTATGTATAAATGTATAATGCCCTAAACTATTCTGGATCTGACCAGTGGGAATATGCACAGGTCAGAATAACCAGGCAACATAAGGCTGTAGCAAGAACCTTACCTTCATATAAACTTTCCTTGGTATTCAGAAGGAAAAGAGAATGTCACACATCTGAAGAGGATGGTCAAATTTGGCTTCTTTAATAATATTCTAGTGGAAGACAAACATAATATATAGTTTTTTGTGGGTTTTTCAGGCTGTGTGGCCATGATCTAGAAAAGTTTCTTTCTGACGTTTTGCCAGCATCTGTGGCTGGCATCTTCAGAGAAAAATCTCTGAAGATGCCAGCCACAGATGGTGGTGAAACGTCAGAAAGAAACTCTTCTAGAACATGGCCACACAGCCTGAAAAACCCACAAAAAACTATGGATACTGGCCATGAAAGCCTACGACTTCACAAACATAATATATTTTTAAAAAGAAATCTCACATATTGTTTTGAACACCATGAGCCCATGACAAAAATGTACATTAAAAAAAATCAAATGCTGGTTTGATCATTAAACTTGGAATTCCTTATCTGTTTGTATCTTCATTCACCCAGCACTACATTCCCTTCCAGAGAAACCAAGCTACATGCCTTACATTAAAGAAAATTGCATTGATTCTGTCTAAAATATCCAGCCATAGCCACAATTCTCCTATGAGAAGGTGGGCCAGCCCTTTTTCTTCAGTCTTTCTGTCTTTAGGCAAAGACTTTTTAAATTTAGAGAGTCTGTAGTGGTTAACTGATTGTGTCAGAAAGAATTTAATGAGAAGGGCTCCCCCGACGAATTGGGAGGGGGCCTCGTTGCGTCTGCCCAAATAAGGGCATTGGCACGTGATTGGCCAGGAGGATCGGAAGGCCCGCCTTTCCGGTCGTTCTGGCCAATGGGAAAGGAATCTCGTGCAGGGTCTCGCGAGATTTTAAATCTCGCGGGATTTGGGTGCGAGATTTGGAGGGCTATAAAGCCCATGGCTGCCACGTGTTGGCAGCCATTTTATTTGTGCCGAGCAAGGAGTACCTTGCTCTTGCGGCACTGGCTCCGGGCCTTTTGCGGCCTTATTAACAAGGCAGGCCCGTTTCGCCTTACTTAAGGCGGTTGGTGGAGGCCTGGCTGGGTCGGACGGGCGCGGCGGCTGCCGTTTTTGGGACGCCTCGCCGGCCATGTTGCAGCAACAAGGCCTAGTGGGCAAGGCCTTTGGGGCGCTTGATAG